GCAGAGGGCCCAGAGATGGTACGATTGCACAGTGGCAGCAGTGTTCTCAGAGCTGGGGAGCAGCAGGGACTCTCTCCATCCTCAGGGACAATGAGGCCAGCAAAGGTGAGGTGCCTACCTGCAAGTCTCCCCAAGAACGGGACTGAGCCTGCAACTCCTGGACCCCAGTGGCCACCCAGCAAGGCAGGCAGGCAGGAGCCCAGAGGAGCCGGTGGGCGTCTGGTGGGCTTCTCCGTCTGTGGCACCCGCGGGAGGGAGGCTGCATTTCACACAGCGTGCTTCCTGTGGTTCCCAGGGGGAGGGCTGCTCTGATGCTGTGAACTTGGCTCCGGGCGAGTGTGCAGTTGGGTTGGCTTCAGGGGTGGCTGGGTGGTAAGGGCGCCCAGAGCCCAGGCCGGCAGTGTGAGAAAGGCACGAGGGACTCACGGTGGGGCTGGGTGCTGAGGGAGGCTGTGGCAGGTGCAGAGCTGTGGGTGGCCTGCATGTGTGCCTGTGGCATGGTCCTGGGACCTGCGTGCGCCAGCACACGCGGGGCGAGGGTCCTGGGGTTGCTAGCACAAAGTGCTGTGGACGGCGGGGAGGGGGGCTTGACACAACAGAAAGCATCTCAGGGCTCCGCGGGCCAGATGTCCAGTCCAGGTGGGCTTCTCCTGAGCTGTGAGGCGGTAGAAGTGCAGCCTGCTCTCTGCCTTCATCTGCCCATGGCTCAGCCCCATGCGAATGTCTCCAAATCTCCCCTTCTGATGAGGACCCCGGTCACGTGGGAGATAGGACCCGCCCTACTCCAGAAGGACCTCAGCCTGACCAGTGACATCTCTAGAGGTCACATTCTGAAGTACCAGGGCTGGGACTCTGGGGGGAACGCAACCCTTGCATGTAGGGGACAGGTGTCCTGGGAGTTTCTTAGCGGGGCCTGCCCTGGCGCGCTGCAGGCTTCCTGGGCAGGTATCTAGGGGTGGGTCCTGGGGCCCAGGGGCAGGGGAGCCTGCTCAGACGTGGCCACTGACCAGTGGCCGTTTCTCACTTCCTTGTGGAAAATTCCCTTTGGTCTCTCCACCCTGGGTCTCCTCAGTGAGATTCCTGGGGATGGCAGGATGGTCCCCAAGAACAGGACCGAGCCTGGGCTCCTGGACCCCATCTGAAGGAGGGAGGTGTGGTGGGGTCTTCCCACCTCTGGGAAAGGTGGAGGGTAAGCTGGGGCTGGAAGGGCTTCCTGGGTGCCCTTCTTAGGTCCTAGACCCACAAAGAGGGATCCCCAACTCCTCCCTTGGCCTGTCTGGTCTCCCCTAGGGCTGGTGTCTCCCTGCCTGCTGCACACAGCCCTGCCTTGGGCCATCTTGAGGGAGGTGGGAAGGGCTGGTGGAGGCTGCCTGGCCTCCTGGGAAGACTGGGGGAGGCTGTCTGGCCTAGGATGGGCTGGGAGGAGGCTGGCCTGGCCTCTTGGGAGGACTGTTAGAGGCTGGCCTCCCAGGGCTCCTGCCTTCTCTGTCTCCCGGAACCCTAGGGGTGGGCATGCTGGAGGGCTGGCCTCCCATGTGTTTTGGCAGTGCCACCACCAGCAGTTTTTCCAACTGAGGGTCTCGTGGCCCCTGGCTGTAGTGAGAGGCCTCTAGAGGTAGGACACCCAGCAGAGAAGGTGTCCAGGCCCCTAGGCCCTGCTGACCCCTAGTGGGTCTTCCAGGCCTGCTCCACCCAGGTGCCCAGGCAGCTCCCTGCCTCCTCTCCTGTCAGGATGGCAGCAGGTGGGCGTCCACCTGCCCAGCACCCCCTGGTCCTCAGACCCCCAGCCCTCCTCCCAGAAGGAGAGACACCAGGGGCATTAAGCCTGAACTCCCAGCTTGGGCTCCCCCCACCTGACCCCCTGGCTGCCCCCACCCCACCCAGCCCCAACTCTGCTCCCTGTCCCTTCCTCATGCTTCATCCTAAAGCATCTAGGCAGGGCAGGGCCAAGGACTGGCTAAGCCAGGTCCTTGTCCTCCTTGGTTTGGGGGAGGCCCTGACAGAGAAGGAGGAGACCCACCCAGCTGGCCACACTGGGGGCGGCTGGAGCTAGCTTCTTCTCCCTTTCCCCAAAGGGCCAATGAATTGAACTGACAGGAGCCCTTCAAACCCCACCGAGGAGTGGGAACAGGACAGCTGGGTCGGACTCCTCAACCCTCATGCCCCTACTCAGAACACGCAGGTCAGGGCCAGTGTGGGGACTGCACCCTGAGACTCCCTGAGCCTGTCTGTCCCCAGGCTGCCCCTGGGATGTGGCCCTTGGCATTGGTCCTGGTTGGTCCCAAGACCCTCTGTGTGGGAGGGAGTGGACTGACTCAGCCCCCACGGACTGGCCCCAGCAGCTTCCCGTCCAGCCATAGCCTCAAGGGCTGCAGATGCTAGATTAGATCCATTCTTGCCTGCTGAGCCTGTGGCGAGCTTTATGGCTCTGGGTTTATAGAAACAGTGGGAAGCAAGGCCGGCTGGACAGAGGCCACCAGGCCTGGGACCCCCATCCCTTCAGATGTCACCCTGTGTTGGGTGGCCTCAGAGTTCTGCTGGAGCACAGAAGACTGGAAGGGAAGGGTTCCTAGAGGAAGGGGCAGGGCCTGAGTTTGCACATGATTCAGCGCCTGAGCCAGGGGGGCTCTTGACCCCTCCTTGCTGGGGATGAAACCCAGGCCCCAACACAAGCCTCCAGGACCCCACGGTGCCAGCCCACAGTCCATCCTGGCCTCTAAGCATGGCTCCAGCTTGGATTTGGAGACAGATGGAGGTGGAGGTCAGCCCACGGGAGGACCACTCTCACTGGACTTCACAGAAAGCCTCAGGGGTCATCAAAGCCTCAGCTGTCCAAGTGACCTGGCCCAGCCCTGTCCACCGCTGGTGCTCCTGGAGCGCTGGTCTCCTCTCCCAGGCATTCTTCCTGGAAGCGGGCCACGGCCCCTGTGAGGACTTAACGCAGGCCAGCCTCTGTGTTTCTTTGGTGGGACACTTGAAAAGCCACAGTCACTCTGGGGATTGGTTGCACTCTTGTGGATGGAGGCGTGTGGGTGGAGAAGGGCCCCGGCGTGTCCTCGCCCTACTCTTCCTTAAACTGTGTCTTAAGCATTTAGGCAGAGAAGGACCCGGGGAGTGACTGAGTTGCGGGAGGGGTGTCTTGCGGATGGGGCCATACAGCGCAGATCTCGGAGGGCGGAGGTGAGTACCTCACTGTGGAAGTCACGAACATGGGTGGGGAGAAGGCTGGCCAGACAGACCTGAGGCCTGGGCCTCCGAGGTGCTTGGAGGGGTGGGTGTGAACTGTGTCTTTCAGTGCAGGTGGCTGACCCAGGAAGGAATGGAGACAGGGATGTATGGTGCGGTCACCCAGCGCACTGAGGCACACATACATCTTTTCTAGCCGTATCTACAGACGGAACCTGGGAGCAGAAGTTTGGCAAAGGCTGCAGACACATAACGCCCAAGTCTGGCCTCCAACTCTGTCCTCCACTGAGGGGAACCAGAGATCCAGGGAGACCAGGCTGATTCCAGCCAGGAGCACCCAGAAAGCAAGGAGGTGCTCAAAGAATGGAGGGATGGAACACAGGAACCACAGAAGGGTTCTGCAACCCAAATCTGGGTAATTCCAGCATCAAAACAGTGTTAGTTGCGTCACATGCATGAGGCCTGGGTTTGATGCCCAGCATTGAAAAAAAAAAAAAAAAAGTCAGCACAAATTATAACCCACTGAATAAAATAGGAACCATGAATCTATACTGATATATTAATTAATGAAAAGCTTGGTAAGAAACAAGATATGTCATTTCAAAGTACCTCCCCAGAAACCATTCATTAATTCTAGAAGAGAAAGAGGTAGATTTGCAGGGAGAGACCTCATCAGCGATGGGATGGGCAGAAGTGGTGTGTCACCAGATGGGACGGTGAAACAGCACCACCTCATAACCCACATCTCATCATGGGGGGATTGGCAGAATCATGGCCCCCCAAAGATGTGCACCCCTTAATCCTGGAGCCTGTATGTGACCTCATGTGGCAAAAGGGTCTTTGTAGGTGTGATTAAGGTCACAGACCTTGAGATAGGAGATTATCCCAGATAATCTGATGGACCCGATCTAATCACATGAATCCTTAAAATCGAAGAGCTTTCTCCTGCTGGGTCGGAGATGCAGCATGAAGGGACCTGACTCTCCTCCCTGCGTCACTGGCTTTGAAGATGGAGGAAGTGGGCTGCGAGCCAGGGAGGGCAGCAGCCCTGGAAAGGTGGCTGCAAGAAACGGGCTTTGGCCCGGCAACCAAGGATGCAAGTCCTGCCACTCACCAACCAGCAGACCCACCCTGGAGCCTCCAGATAGGAAGGTGGCCCACTGGTAGCTTGAAGTCCTTCCAGCGAGGTCTGTGCTGGACTCCTAACCCCCAGAGCTAAGAAGTAAAAAGTGGGCATCAATCCAGATTACCACTGGATTTGTGGTAATCTGTTACACCAGCAATGAAAAATTAGTGGAGACATCAGACAAACCCCAATTAAGGGCCACGGGGTTGCTTATCTAGAACATAGAAATAATGCCTCAAAATTCATAAGGATGAACAGCTAAAAAAGAAAAATGGAGGGCTGGAGTTATGGCTCAGTGGTAGAGCGCTTTCCTAGCACATGTGAAGCACTGGGTTCAATCCTCAGCACCACATAAAAATAGATAAATGAACCAGGCACGGTGGCACACGTCTGTAATCCCAGTGGCTTGGGAGGCTGAGATTGGAGGATCAACGAGTTCAAAGCCAGCCTCAGCAATGGCAAGGTGCTAAGCAACTCAGTGAGTTGCTTTCACAGAAGAAATGTGAACAGAAAACCAAAAATATGAATAGATGATTAACCTCATTTGTAATTAGAGAAGAGAAATTAAAGCCTCAGTGAGACTACATTTTATTTACCAGATTGGCCAAGCTGATGATATCAAATGTTGGGGACAACATAGAGCAGAGCGTCCACAGTCCACAGCCTTCAGGTCAACTGGGCCAACTGCTGTTTTGTAAATAAAGTTTTATTAGAGCAGACACACCCACTTGTTGTGTATTGTTCAGGACTGCTTTAGTGCTGAAGTGGCAGAACTTAACAGTTTTGAAAGAAACAGCGAGGTCAAGGAAGCAGGAAATACTCACTAACTGACACTTAACAGGAAGCTTGCCAACCTCCATTGCAAACCAGGAAGGACTCTTACAGCTGCTTTCAAGAGCAATTTGGCAATTACTAGTAAAGATATGCATGGGTTTGAATCTGCAATCCAACTTCTAGGTATTTACCCTGGAGAACTTCTAACATGTAGACACTGAGGTGACAAGTACAACAATATTCAGTACATCACTGTTCATAATGGCAAACAACTGGAAACAACTCAGTGCCCTTGGCAGGAGAATGGATTTATATTCTGGGCTACTTAAACAATGGCATCCATAGAGCAGAAAGAATGACTTACCCCCACCAGACTGTGGTGATGGTGATGGTGAATCTTATAAACAACGTTGAATGAGATAGTTGCAGAATGTATACAATATAATTCCATTTAGTATACAAGTAAAAAAATGCAAAAATGCTTTATCCCAATATACTATTGAGTTAATTAGGCTATAGCTTTGTCTTCATGAAACAGAATCCAAAATAACAGCAGCTTAAACCAGACAGTCTGTCTACCTTATGGAGCAGTCCAGAGACAGTAGTCTGCACAGGTATGATGGCTCTGCCCCACGGTGCCCAGGAACCCAGGCTCCTCCTGGCTCCACTCCTGCCATGGTCTCATCCTGGCCCCCATGGTCTGTGTTCCAAACAGCACATGAAAGAAGGGACAAATTCCTCCTTCTGAGGATTGGTCTAGAAGTTGCAGCTGTCATTTTTGCTCACTTCCTGTTGGCTGGAACTTAGTCACACGGTCGCCCTTACTTGCAAGGGAGGCTGGGAACTGTTTTCCTTATTCTAGGCAGCCACATGTGCAGGCCAAATCCCTATTAAATTGGAATAAATAACAATAAAGACACAAGCAATAGTTTTCCCCATAATTGTTCAGTGGTATATCCGTATGTGGTAAACTTTAAAGAAAAGTAATGATAAAATCTGGATAATGATGATTTCAGAGTGGTAGGGAAAAGGGAACTGGGGAGGAACTCAAGTTTGAGTTTCTAGTAACCCCGCTCTTAAAGCTGAAGTCCCCACAGGTATTATTATTCATTACAACCTGTGTTAAGTTTCACATCTTGGGGCTGGGGTTGTGGCTCAGTGGTAGAGTGCTCGCCTAGCATGTGTGAGGCCCTGGATTCGATCCTCAGCACCATATAAAAATAAATGAATAAAGATATTGTGTCCAACTAAAAAATAATAGATATTAAAGAAAGTTTCACATCTTGAACACGAAATTTCATAAAAATTACATGATTAATCAAAAGTAGTTTATACACTGTATGATATTTGCATAAAATAAATGAGTGCAGGCATTTATTATTTTGATTTTGTACTCAGTTACTCTTAATCCTGGCATCTCTTCCTCTTCTCTTGAAGGTGGGACAGGGCATTACTTAGTGGCTGCACTGCCTCATGCCTGAAGAGCCTCTCATTTAAGACACAAGACCCTGCATTTGCCTGCAGACATGGCCAAGAGCTTCCCCAGCAACCTGCAATTCTCATGTGCAATTCCAGTTCAGGGGACTGGTGGGCATCGCCAGATATCAGGATTTATTATGGGTCAGGGCCCTCCTTTCTTCTCTCACCTCCCCAACATCTATTTCTACAGGAAGAATTTTCATTTGTCCAAGCCCCAGCCTATTGGCCACCCGCTCTGGAAGCTCTCCCAGATTTCTCTGGTCACATCAGTCTTTCCATCTCTTCCTCTCACATTTCCTTCGCTCCTTTTCATATTAGGCCGTTAGATTCCTCCCACTACTGCAGGGGCGATTCTGCAGACTCCACGTCCGGCTTCTGTCTTAGCTAAGTCTCCTGCCGGTAGCGGAGTGGACCAACCCCTCGGTGCTGAAGTGGCACCCCTTTCTCCACAGAAAAGTCTTAACTGGGCATTTCTGAAGATTTCTCCAGAAATCTTCACCATGGCTGATTTTAGGATTGTCAACAAGAGTCTCTGCAAAAGAGTTTAATGTAGATAAACTTCCTTTGTTTCGTGTTGCCCTGTTTTACTTGGCTACTGGCTGGGAAGAAATCAGCACTCCAGGTGCTGGACACCCTCTTACTAGTTTTTCACAACCGTATCTAGTATAGCAGTTTGTACAAATGTGCAAACTAGGCCTCTGGCCTTGAGCTGGGCTTCACAGAGATGTCCACATTTCTAGGATAAGAGAAGTTACCAATTGGGCTCCATGGTAACAGCTGGTAGGGGGAGGAAAGAGAGGGGAGAAGAGGCTCTCCCCTTCTCAGGTGTTGTCCTTGAAGGGCTAACTTGCCCAGAATAGTGAAAGAAAAAGCTGCTTTTATGTGAACTTCTACAGACTGTAAACTTCTGAGCCCCTCCCCTTACATGCTGGGTATAAGACTGAAACTCCCTGATGGGGGTTCAGGTTATTGATTGATTACAGCAAAAGCTGTGCCCTCTGAACCTGGCTGCAGCCAAATAAAAGCGTTTCCTGCTCTCTTCCGTGCCTTGCCTCATATGTCCCACAACAGTGCCTCGGCCATCAGAGTACCAAGCACACGCCCTAAAATCGGTCCTAAGGGCTAAGCGCTGCCGATGAACGCTAGAACCCCGCTCCTCTTCGCAGGGCCCAGCGACCCCCTTTCTCTCCAGCCCTGATTGTCCTTCCGCATGAAGCTCCCAGGGGAAGAACCCCTGCCCGTCCAGCCCCATTAGTATCCAAGGAGGAGCCGACCTGGTTAGCGCGGCTAAGTACCAGGCAGGAACCGGGCTAGCGCGCCGGCACCGCCCCTCCTGGGCACGCTTGCCTCTCATTGGCGCTCACCACCCCGAGGCCCGCCCCGTCGTACAAACCCCGCCCCCATCCCTCTCAACTTTCCGGGACCGCCTCTTGCTGGCTCGGGTCCCGCCGTGCCCCGCCTTCGCTACCGTCACTTCCGGGCAGGGAGTGAGCGGAAGGCGGAAGTGTGTGTGCTGTGGCCGGCGAAGCGGGGCTGAGGTGTAGCTCCAGAGCCGCGGCTCTTCCGGGTCGGCGCCGCGGGCCGCGAGAGCGAGCGCAGGACCATGGCTGGGAGGCGGCCGCGCGGCCTGGCGGGGTCTGGAGGCTGACTGCGCGCCCCGGCCCCGACACTCAGGATGACGGCGGCCGCCGCCTCCAACTGGGGGCTGGTCACGAACGTGGTGAACAGCATCGTGGGCGTCAGCGTGCTCACCATGCCCTTCTGCTTCAAGCAGGTGAGCCGGGCCGCCGACGTGCGAGCCGCCCGCAGGCCGCGCCGCGCCCGCTCCGGGCTGCGCCGACGCCAGGGCAAGGCCCGGGCGCGGAGAGGTCGGTGTCACCGCGGAGTGACTGCCACGTGGAGGACAGCGCCGCGTCTGCGTGGCCCCTGCTCGCAGCTTGCGCCGGCGGGCGGGCGCCCGGGAGGCCGCGCCCTCCCGGGGCCGTTAACCGTGCGCTGGCCCCGGTCCCGCTGCCGGGAGGTCCTGGCCGCTGGCCACGCCAAAGAGGCAGGCAGTGAACATGCGATGGGGGGCTGCGGCTCAGTGGCAGAGCACTTGCCTGGCCTGTGTGCGACACTGGGTTCCCTTCTCAGCGCCACGTATAAATAAGTGAATAAAGTAAAGGTCCAGCAACAACTAAAAAATACATATTAAAAAAAAATGAGACGGGCATTTTGGAGCCGGAGGTGGGTGCCGGTAGTTGTTTGAGCACTTCGCGTGTTTCACAAGTAGCTCTTTTGGATGAAAACATCAAAAAAAAAGTTGCGATCCAGGAATTTTCCGTCCTGCACGCAGAGCTCTGCAGCCTTTTCGTGTGGGTTGTTAGTCTAACATTGTTGGCCAGTGTAGGCGGGAGGACAGAGCCCCGATGTCACCAGAGCCCCTGGCTAGGGCATCCCAGCACTGTGTTACCCCAGGGTGCTTCCGGAATTCCTGCCTCCCCCAGTGTCCGCAGCAGAACTGTTGGGGATAGCGGTGGCTGTGAAATGCCTCCGTGGTTGGGACTAGGGCCCAGGTGATTCATGTGTCCCCAGATTTGGAGCACCTGCTGCGTGTTGGGTATTAGGCCGCTGCCAGAGGATGAGGTCAGCAGAGGCCTTCCTGGGAAGAGCTTGGAAGTTTAGCCGGGAGCCTCTGTGCTAGCAGAGGATGAGAAACAGTCACACGTGTCCTTAGTGCCAGCCAGCTGCTTCCTCTGGACTCATCATCTCCTTCAGCAGAAGCCAACACGCTAGTTGGAGAGGGGTGTGTTTAGTGTTTGGCAGCTCTGTCATTAAAAAACTTGCATTAGTGTTTCTTTTTCTCACCCAGTAATTCTGGCACTTACACACACATGCACACATATAAACATTTTGTTGAATTTTAATGTGTAGAAAACTTTATATGCTTCAGGTATACTCAGTGATTTTTTATAAAGTCAACAAACATAGTGATTTACTTTGCATTGAAGAATGCCATAGTCCTTGCCAGTCACTCCTGCCCACTACACAGGCCACCACCTGCCTCTGGTGTGGGAGGTTCCATTGCCTGCTTTCTGCTGACATTAGATGGAGTTGGTGTGTTTATTTCAGGATCTGGTAGTATTCTGTCATATGGAAATAGAGTTTGTCCTACCTTTGCAGGCATCTCTGGTGTTTCCTGTTTGGAGCCCTTAGGACCAGTTACTGAGGCTCTATGAGTGATAGCGTTTATTTTGGGTGTGTACCTGGGTAGAACATCAGGGTCACAAGGTGTGTGTGTGTGCAGTTCTAGTGGATGCTGCTGAGAGTTTCCAGGGCAGATCGATGTTCTAGTGTTCACTCCTGCCAGCAGGTGTCTGAGGTCCAAGTGCTCCACACTCTGCAGTATTTGATATCCTGTCTCTTTTCCATTTGAGCCATTCTGATGAGAGTGTGGTGACATCACATTGTGTGTGCATTTATTTATTTTTTGTGGTGCTGACAATTGGACCCAGGGCCTTGCACATACTGGGCAAGTGCTCTACCACTGAGTCCCAGCTCTTGATTTTCTAAATTTTGACACAGTGTCTCATTAAGTTGCCCAAGATGGCCTGGGACTTGCCATCTTTCTGTCTCCCCTGAGTAGCTGGGATTACAGGCATGTGCCACCATGCCTGGTTCATTTGTGTTTTTAAAATTGATAGACTTATATTTTTTTATATTTATTTTTTAGTTTTAGGAGACACAATATTTTATTTTTATGTGGTGCTGAGGATCAAACCCTAGTGCCTCAGCTGCTAGGCAAGCACCCTACCTCTGAGCCAGAACCCCAGCCCCTAGATTTATATATATATTTTTTAATTTTTTTAAATTGTTGATGGACCTTTATTTTAATCATTTATCTGTATGCGGTGCTGAGAATTGAACCAAGTGCCACATATTCGAGGCAAGCACTCTACCACTGAGCCAGAACCCCAGCTGGGATTTACATTTTTAAGTAGTTTTAGGTTTATGACCAACTGAGTGGGAAGTACAGGGAGTTCCTGTAGACTGCCTGACCCCTTAACGCCTTGTCCCACGTAGAGGTGCTGATGTTTTAAGAGTCCATTATTATTATTTTTTTTTTTTAAAGAGAGAGAGAGAGAGAATTTTAATATTTATGTATTTTTTAGTTTTCGGCGGACACAACATCTTTGTTTGTATGTGGTGCTGAGGATCGAACCCGGGCCGCATGCATGCCAGGCGAGCG